ATTATTGTAACTCTGTGATTTTGACAACTCGAGCAAAGAGAACAAGGTAAAATAATTCTAAATTTGCAAAAAATGCTAAATCTGTTAAAGTTTTTTTTAGATATGGCCAATGAAAGATTGAAGTTTACTCACCGTTTGTTATTGTTTGGCATGGTTCATAAGTTTAAAAAAGGACAAATATGTAGCAGATCTAACTGCTCTAGATTACTTAGAGGTGTTGTATGGCATTCTTTCATGTTATTTGTTTTAAATCTAAAAATTCCAAAAACAGGTTATTATGACTGTTCCACTTTGCAATTCTATGGGCAAAACAAACTGTGGCAAACGACAGCTTGTTTTGATTACCGAATAGCCATCAGGTTTTGGAAATCAGCTAAAGATTTGCTCAAGGGCGGACTGGCCCTCACCACCCGGCCCCCTCAGAATTTTAAGAAGCGGGCCTTTCATAAAGGGGAAATTTTTGAATTTATGTATTGCATAAATCCATAACGATAAATTTAAAATTTGCAGATGTAAAACAATGGCTTTCCCGCCTAAAATCTTTGGAAGCGATTAAAGTTATACAAATTAATATCAATTTTAAGAGTACGTGAAATAGCTTTTCTAAGTGACCACGCCTATCAAAGGCCCGGTCACGCCCTACGGGCCCTTTCAGAGCCAAAAAGCAACCCCGAGAGGACAGTTCCAGTCCACCCCTCTTTGATCATCGCAAAACACGCCACCTATATTTATAAAGCTTAGGTCTTGGTCATTTTTGAGATAACATAGAGAGGAAACCAGACAGTAAAGATCTCCTAATTTTTCAAAATCGGATAAGGGTGGTTGCCAATTTGGCTTAATGCCATGCGATAAGAGCAGTAATTTTAGTATTCTGCCAAATGTGTTTCATTCACTTTCTTATCAAAAGAGATACATTATGCATTACTAAAGATTAACCTTAAGCATTATCATAACCATATATTATTTTAGATTGGTTTGATAAGAAGTACTTTTGTTATGTCCCACTTGACTTGTATTATATAAGCATGTCTTTAAAAGGAAACGTCGGCTGGTTTTATCTAGATCTAGATGAATACAGAGCAGGACCAGAGTCAGTAAAATATCACGACCCCACGGCATCTGACCAGAGGAAGGTTGTAGAAACAAAAAAATAGAGGAAGGTGACCCAATAATTGGAAACTTTAGGAAGTTGAAGAAATCGTATCGCCTTTTGGTTTTCAAAATACAGTTTCAAGTAGAAAAAGTCAAATAAAATTTATAATTTCCTGCTTTTTAATATGAATGTGTTTGCAGAACTGCCTTACTTTGTATAATTTAGGCGTTAACTTTTGATGATATCATCATCAGGTACCATCTTCTATCAGTAGATTGGCTACCACGACCCTCTAACTATCCCAAAATCTGAGGGTTTGTTGTCATGGTCACAGATAAAACATTTGATGATAAGTATGTTGAAATTATGACAGCCTTTCCTTTTTAATTTACATAAGCATGCTACTTATATCTGTCTCAAAATATATCTATATTAAGAAAAAAGCCAAATTTTTTAAAATTTTTTTGGAAAAACGGAGCTGCAAGGGGATCAAAGCTGGTTGAGTACCTCCAATTTCCTGACTACGCCATTTTGAACACAAAAAATTCTCTAGGTTTTGTAGTATGATTTGCTTGGCCGGGAAGTTGATAACATTTTTGGACTCTGTGCAGGACGAGACATTTTTTATCAAGAGCAAGGTATTTTTTTAGCCTATTTATATGAAATTTATAACAGTCTATATTTTAAGCAAAGAGGAAATGGAACTAATGCACTTCTTTGTGTATTTTTTCAAAACAGTTACTCAGTAGCTAGAACTGCTAAGTGGGCGCTTTTTGGATAAGCCCACGCAACATTAATACTGTATCTCGTGTTATGTTTTCTCTTTCACATTTTTTCGTCAATTCAATTTATCGATATTTTGATTTTTTCTCCCCATTGGCCTGCCTTTCTTTTATAAATGAAACTTCTTTGAAACTGACTGCAGCTGAGCCTAGTAGACTAAAATCGATTATGTGTACAAAGAAGGTAACTAAAGAAACAGCCAACTAGCAGGTACAGGTACTAGGTTGCAGGTACTTTATTGATCGTTCCTTTTGATTGGAAAATTAAACCTCTTTGATATTCATGGGTATCTTGAATGTGATCAAAAGGGCCTTGATCACAAGCAGCCATTAGAAATTTCAAGAAATGAATTGTGAACGAGTTAAATTGCTTATTTTTATATTGGTTTAACGATTAAGAAAATCATGACCCCTATTTCTCAATAAGATGTATATTTTGAAAAGATGACAACCAATTAACTTTTATGCTACTTTTGTCAAATCCACGAAGTTGCTACTTCAGCAAATGGTTATGATGGCACTCAAAATCGGTCCCCTTGCCTGTTTTTCATAGAGGCCATACACTGACTGCAGTATAGTGTAGAGACATGCGTGCTCTTGTCTTCTGTACCGCCTATAGCCAGCGCATTAGTACTGATAAGGAAATCGAACCTTGCTTCTTTCTCCACATGACATTTATGCTTGCTGGCCATCTCTATAGCGCAAACACACGCCTATGAGAAGTTTAGGCCCATTGCATTCATTGATTGAAAACTAGAAAAGCATAGGTTTGGAATATATCAGAAGTTGTTGGAATGTCTTCTTCAAAGGCAATCGACAGATATAAAATTATCGTCAATATTAACCAAGCAATCAGCTTGTGATTGGAATCACGCCCACCGATTGGTCAATTTTTGATTGAAAGATGGCTAAAGTTCCTTAGTCTTGATTGATTGCCTTTAATATCGACCTTTTGCCTTCAAATGACAACCTGCATTCGAAAGCACTTCTACACAAATCAATTAAAACTTATAGCTAATTGCTAACAATCCTTTTTTGTGGTACAGATTTTAAAAATAGCTTTGGAAAAAGCAAACATTTTAAAATATAGGACAAAAGTTCTTCGTCTGACAATGTTCAGAGTGTAAAATGACAGAACATAGATCGAAGACTTTATGTTAGGAAATATATATACCTCTTGTGGATCGTAATAGGCCAATCAGAAACGCGAGCACATGACTGTTGAGGTTGACTAATCAGTGCCGCATGGATATTGAAAATGTTACCAATGTAGTCCCATGGTAAAAAAGGAAAACCTTTTGTCTATGCAATAGTGGCTTTTTCATGTTCATGTACACTTAGATGAAAAAGTATTAGGACGATCGCATCGCCTCAAAGCAAAATGCCGTTAACATACGCACAGGAAAAAACATTGGAGCATAATGAGATTGTTGGCTGAGATTTCCGATTGTAATTTGACCAAAATGTAAAATAAACATAAATTGTATAAATTATATAAAAACACCAACATTTTTAGACAAGTACAACTTGTTTTATTTCATATTTTCTAGACTGTCGCCATTTTCACTGACTAACGAGATATCTTTGGATACAGAACGAAATCTCAAAAAAATTTTAATCAGCTCTTTTATGGTCTTCGAAAATTTCATTTCTTGGAATTTTTTAATGAAAGCAAGTTGTTTTCAATTATGAAAACCAGTTATTGGTAGACCATGATACCATTTTTCTTGGTAATTTTTTCACAGTCGCAACATAACTAGGTTTATTGTCTCGCTCAAAAGTAAATGGTCTTTGCATAGCACCAATACTTGTTTCTGTACTTGCCTGGAGGCTCTCCACAAATATTTGGACAAAATATTTAGCGTTGATTGACTTCGCACACAACGCCAATTTGCCGACACCATTGGACCCAAATGTAGACTTGCTGTAACAAACTTTCTTGAAATTTTAGCATCAGAAATTTTAATTGCTTTTGGTTCTCTTGCTGGTCGCTTTTGTATTTTCGGCATTGAAACAAAAATTGATGACTTTTTCGCTTTTTAATCCGGTCTGAGAATAGCTCTGTTGTTGCCTTGATTACAAGATGGTGAAAACAAATGGTGTTTAGTAATTGTTTGGTTGGAATTAGTGCACTCTTGCAGATAAACTTCAAATTGGCTTACCATTTTGCCCTTTGGACACATATTTTGCAGACAACGACATGGGAGATACGACTAGAGAGTTTTAAACAATGACACTAAAATATTTTTTAGTTGCTAAACAGCCTTTTTTTAAATGAAAGGCAAACTCAGTCCGGTTTGAGAATAATTTCTGTTAACATTAAGGCGGATTTTAACAGGGGCGGAGGAGCATGTTTAAAATGCTGAGTTGAAATTAGTCCAGATCCGAGTTTCAAATCGAATTTCGAACCGGTTTGAGTTTCATATGGATGCTTGCGGTGCCTTGTAAAGATGACCCAGATTTATGTGCTAAATATAGATACCCCTGACTGTGATGTGCTTCTAATTACTGCTTCAAAGAGTCAAATCAGTTCTATTTCTCCATAATTAGTGGCTGCGAAATTTCAAGAAGAGCTAAATTAATGCTTTGTTTACTTTTTCCTACGTTAACCACAATGTGCAAATGTTTGGTCAGACGCTCACTGGTCAAAAGAAAGCAGAAGATGAAATCATTCTGAATTTCTTCAAAGGTTGACAGCTGTTCTTTCATCGTGTACGCAAGAGGCAAATGTCAAAGAAAAACCCTGCTGAATACACTAATTTAATTTCAATTATGACTTGATTACTCTGGCTCCTTTGAATGCTTCATAGATTCATGGTAATCAATAAAATAACATATTCTGCGTTGAATCGACCAAAGGACATAATAGAAAGAGTTGGGTAATAGCCTCAAACGCTGTGTACTGAAGATGACCAACATATAACTCTATGCTTCATTCTCTCGATTGATCGAAGTTAAATGTCATTGTCTTATAGCAAAGTCAATAGATATGAAGTTCTAAAGTACATTATGTCTTGAAGACAAAATCAGTGTTAATCGTAGTGCATCAAAATGCATTGAACCTTTCTCATACGTAGAATGTTCCTCTGAGCCCATAGACATATGAAAGACAGAAACCAAGTCGGTGAAGATGACAATTACAAAATATAAACTTGTGATTCATTTCTGCATACATTCTTTGAATCAAGACAAACACAGAAATCAATTGAAAAAATTTATTAGAATTCTAAATAATTCATCTGTACCTATGATTCACTAGTCAAGATAGATAACAATTCAGTGCGATTATTGCACTCGCATAACACTTGTAACTATGGCAACTCTACAGAAGGCGTGAAGGTGATAACCTAGGTACATAGCCTTCAAAAGCACACGGTATTTCCATAACTACCTACTTTGCAACACAAGGTATTTGTCTGCAAAGTGTGAAACTTGCTTACCATATGGCTAGCAGACACTTTGAGGGATGCTTTAAACACTACAAATATTTAAGGTTGACAGGCAACTCAGGTGTTGGCCGCAAAGTTTTTATTTCCAGATTGACAATCTTCGTATTTTCCCGTTTACTTGAGATGTCTACATATATAGTTAGCACACTACCTGAAAACTGGTTCAATACAGCTATTTTGTATCCATAGCAAAAAACAACCTTTTAGTGAGCTACAAGAATATGTGAACCTATAGTTGATCGACTTATGTAACTTCGAGAAAATACATTGCTCGTGAAGCCCATTGATCGGCAAGACTTGTACCGTAAGCCACAGAATAGAAGAAGAGGTTAATAGCAATCAAAACTCAGAAATTTGTTTTTGAAAAGAGTGAGCTTTGATTGTTCCGTATATGTGATTGACTTATCAAATCGATTTGTACTTCTATCTGAACATTTAGTTATGAATACCAACTAGATTCTTATTTAATCACCTATGCCTGAGCTATCATCACCTCAATCAAGCGTTTTTCTAGCCTACACTTGTAATATTTGTATCTTGAATTTCCTCCACGAGCTAAAATAATCTTGAAAGATCTGCTGAAACAAGCAAATGGGGAGACGAAATTGATTTACACATGATTCTCTCACGACTCTGGGTACACCTGTTTCAGACGTTTCATTCGATTTAATGCTTTGAAAGCGAAGCAACTACAACCAGACTTACAATTGTGGAACACCGCTGAGAAACCGTTAACCATATCATAAATTTTACTATCAAATTAGAGTAATTTCTCAACTACAGCTATTTTTGTTACTAATGTTCTCAAATCCATGGATTCATCAATAATTCATCACATGGTTTATAGCTCCCGTCGATTTTTAAGAAGGTACGAGGCCCTCTATTATATTTACAAAATATTGCAAACCCTGTTATTGCTAGGTTTTGCCTTACTATTCAACATAAACAAAGTTTACAAAGAATTACTATTTCTGAATTGTTTCAAAACCGAAATCATTTCTAGCTATAGGGTTTTCAATATTGGGTAGCTTCTCACTTGAAACCAAAGTCGGGAAGTCAAGATTATTCTGCTTTCTACAAACTTTTTATAGTGATTCTATATTGAATCACATATTTTTCAGGATAAGCTATTTCCTGCGTTTAACTTTTATACAGTTTTCAGCTCGCTGACAGATTCAGTGATTTGGATTTCAAGTTTCAATAAATCGTCAACATAAAATGCTATATATTCCGATAAAAACATAGCCGGTAGCATTTAAACTTTAAGTAAATTGTAAGTAAGCTGGATTTGAGAACATTTTAAATGATGAAATTCAAAAATTTTCGCAAAATTAAATCGTTTTTTAGATATCTACTATTCTGAATGCTAACAGACAATTCGTTTGCAAATGTTCATTTAAAATCTATGTTTTGAAAATATCATCCACATGTGTGTAAGTACATACCACAGCGATCCGTTTGAAACAATGAACTGACGTCTTTTGTCCGTCCGAAACGCGAGTGCACACTTGAGAAAAACAAATATAACCTAATGTTTTCTGATGAACGCTTATAGAATGTTTTTGATGATTCAAATAAACCGAATAGCGACCAGCTAGCAAATCGTCCCTTCTCCATCGAAGTACAATCATGCATCATCTCTCTAGTGCTTCAGATTTCCTAATGGCCTAATTTTTTCTTATCATTGTTGTAGCAGTTTGAGAATTGTTGGGTCATCTTTGGCAGCTTCTATAAACTCGTCAAGCGTCACTTCGCCATCCCCATCTTCATCCATTCTTTGAAACAATTGGGCTGCAACAACAGGGGGAGGATCACGTATTTCCATTGCATTCTTGCCACCCTCGTCTGTCATCATTTTGTATATCGACTTGATTATCTCGACAAGCTCGTCTTCTGTGATCGTGCCGCTTCCATCAATATCGTACATATTGAACGCCCATCTTAGCTTGTCTTCCTTTGTACCGTGACACGTAATAGACAATCCGCAAATGAATTCTCTGAAATCAATCGATCCGTTTCCGTCTTTATCGAATGTGCGGAAAACGTGTGTTGCAAATTTTGTAGCATCGCCTTCCTTGAAGAAATTCTTGTAAATTTGCTCAAACTCTTTTCTTGTCATTTTGCCACTTGGACAATCTTTCATGAATCCTTTATACCACTTATCTAGCTCGCGGTCACTAAAAGCTGTACATTGTCGCAAGTACGCTAGGTTTTCTGGAGTGAGTTTGCTCTGATGTTTTCCCATTCTGCTTCAACTCTTCTCGATAACTGCTGAAGGTGCAGGCGAACTGTTCTGTTTTGATTCAATCTATTACTGATAAGTATTGTCTAGGCGATAAAAATACCTGCCTGCAAGGATGGTACTTTGACAGCTTCTCAACTCACGATATGGAAGGAGATTCTGCAAGTGCAAGTGTAATTTACTTCGATCCAGTTAGGTGTTTATATGAACTGGACAGTGGGAGCAAGAAACCTGTGTGCTGTAAGCTGTATTCTTAAGAGTTGTTCATTAATATTTATACAGGACAACAAGGCTTTAACAAACGATCTCCCAATAAAGGCTAAGCAGATCGGTCTTTGTCCGTTGTTTTGCAAACTAGATTCAGAGAATTGCAACTGAAATGACGAAAGACATTAGAACAATGCATACCTTTGTGTCATGAGATGCCCAAATGTCAACTGGTATGATGATGATGAGGTGCCTTGTGTTTAAAGGAACTGTGTTAAGTCTTCAACCAGCACTGGAAACACACCGAATGATCTGACTTAGATCCAGAAAAGCCCACAAGATATTAGAGAGCATACATTAAAGTTTAATTAGCAAAAGTCGTGATAAGAAACTGATGGAAGTCACCAGGTGCCCCGTTTATGCCTACATTCAAGCTAAAATTAAAAAAGAATAAAAACCATCAAAATTTTTGATGAAATCGAAATAAAAGATCTTTTCAATGCAAATTTGAGTAGCTCAGCAGATGCATTTGACAATCTCTGGAATACTACATAAAAGCAACAGGTACTTAAAATGATGGTCGCTTTATATGGGCATTTATTGGCAGTCGCTATGTGCATAATACCTGTCACATCAAACGCAATAAATCCTTGCCTTTATTTTCAAACATGCCGTGTTTGCAAATTTTTTATCCAAGAGGATTGCAAATATTGGTTATGATTTTGGCTGAATAACTATCTTTTTCAAAATACTTGCAACAATTGTGTAAAAGTTGTACATTTTCAATCAAACGGTTCTTAAAGAAGACATTCTCACTCAAGGCTCAAATCTCAATAGTTACTACCTGAATGCTTTTAAATCTTACACTCAGCTAAATCAACAACGATTTAGTGTTAATTATTCTTTTTTGCAAGTCTTCACACATATGATAATCAACACAGAACTAACAAACGAGACATGTTGGACAAGCAAGAATTTGCATCTAAAAAACATTTTGAATTCAGTGCTAAAAAAATAAACCATTTAAAAATCAATCGCAAAACAATCTTCAATTTAAGCTGTTATTAAGTTCTAGTTTAAAGTTTCAATAAGTGTATAAGTTTCAAAACAGCGCAAACCCAGTAATGAGAATTGATTTCTTAGTTAATCTTTTATTATTTGAGATCTAACTGTCCGAGCTTAAGGAAAATTAAAAGGTAGAAATGCGTTTTAGGTAAAGACATGTTTCTTAGAGGATTTTAGTTCTTTATCAGGCCTAATGTTGGCAATTTTGCAAACTCTTTCTAGAATTGAGGGAATTGTATCTATAATTTTATTTTACTATCTAAAATTTGAAAAATTGAAGACTTTTCCAGAACAGCTATCGTCTGTCTTGACATAATCACTATTCTTTTTTATTTAGAATGGCTATGCACTTTAAGTAGGCGTAGAAAAGATAGGGATGAAGTGAAAAACTAACGATTGCCAGACAGCTGGCATAGAAACTATATCAACGTACACAGAGTTTGACGTCACATCATAAAATACGAATATGCACAAAGCTTTATTTGCATGCCTTCTTTGACTAAGTTCGAATTTTTAAGCCGCCAGTCTGAAACTAAAATTAATGAACTAACAATATAATTTAAAGATGTGCATCCATTCTTATCCATACTCATTCTTAACATTTTATCACAAAAAATTGCTAATTGGAAAAGAGCAAAGAAGATAAAAGAGCATTAAGAGCTTGATTGCTCATTTAAGGACTGTTTTTGCTGCTCTAAATTGCCATTCTTTCTCAATAAAAGGATAAACTTAGGGCTTTACGTTTCCAGCACTGTTTTTTCTTGCAACCTAAGAACGCGAGTCTCTTCCTTGAAGTCCTTTTAAAGCAATCTACATCTAATCTTGCAAGCTTTTAAAGAATAAAGCGCACATTTGCATGTCTTTCTTTGATATGGAAATCTTTTGGGAAAGAAGTTTGTTTTCAGAATCAGAACGAGCGATTTTTCATAACTAGATACTTATCAGTTACAAACGCTGAATTGTGGATAAGTAGTCTTTGAATATTGGTAAACAGTGTGCGGTATGAAGAATGAATTGCAGCCTATTGGGAGAGGGAAGCACAAAAGCTTTCTTTCTTATCTTTTCTAATTGCTTGCGTCTAACCAATTGGCAGGTATATGAAACGGAAGCTAACAGGGACAAAAGGGTTTTGCATTAGTTAGCTATCTCTCTTTGGTTCGCCATATCAGTCCACCTGCTAGCAAACACTAATTAGGCGTTATTTCTTCGTTTCTCAAAGCCTCTCCTCATGGCTGCTCATCGTATGTCGGGTGAATTGTAAAGCAAATAATTTGAGTTGAAATTGAAAACCGATGTCATCCACGTAGATTTTGGCTGCCAAATCTTTGTTTTCGGAGGCAATCACGAAGCAATACTCTTGTTAAGGAAAACCGCAGTAACCAATCTTCTGCAAAGAAAGAAGAAGTTTCGCTTTGAAGAGATGTTTGCAAACGCAAACACATACCATCATTGCTTTGTACTGCCTATGTCCAGGAAAATTACCGGATTAAGAACATATTTGAGAGCACTATTCAGCTGTTAACATATTTAATAACAGTACTGTTATGCGATAGCTGATACCAATTAATTTATGAAGTGAAAAACTGTATCTAATAAAGAAACTTGGATATGGGGAATAACCAGTATTTTCTTGCAAATGAGCATTTTAGTTGCATGTAGTCTTGGCTTGGAGCAATGGCCTAGAATATCCTTGTCATTGTTAATACTTCTGTTGATACTATACTCATATAGGTTAGCTTTTGCTGACAAAGTAATGTCTTGTTTGTTCAACTAAATGTTTGAAAGCGTTAACAATATTCGTTTCTGGCAGCATTTTACAAAATAATATCATGTACAACCGAAAAGAGACAATAACTTTAGTAGGTAAGTATCTGGGGTGTAGTGTGTTTGAACCCTGAAATTTTTATGTTTTTCTATACCCAGAGCTTTTACTTGGAATACAAAACGCATGCCCAAAGGGCAAGCATAGCTTTTAAATTCATTTCGGTTATCCTGAATGCCCCTAGTAATGGTTTTACTGTGTCATAAAATTCTGCAAGTCAAGCATAACAAATTCTTTCACAGATCTTCTCTTCTTTTCATTTTCATTTTCTATCGATCTATTTTAAAGACAACTAAAACATAATTACATTACATTGGATACAATTACAATGATTACAAAACATTAGCTTCATATAAAGCTACAAGTTTGTATATAAAATAGATTGATTAAGCTGGAGCTCTCTAAATAGACAAACTAATCGGCAAGAGAGCCCCACCCCTTAAAAGAAAATTCGAAATTCATAGAAAACAACGGATACATGATTGAACCAGATATGCCTCTCAGATTTATTAATTAGGCATAGGAATTAATAGAATAGGCTTTTAATTTAGCATAAAAGCGGAAGCAGAACCAGCAACCCGTATGAAGAGCGGATGAAATAATATATACTTTTAAAGGGCGCAAGCATAATACGAATTGTAGATGTCTTTATCCCAATCTCTAGGTTTTATTTCTTGTAGATCTACAGCAGTTTTATACAACTAGACACCCAATTTTTGCAAACTGCTCAAATATTCTTCATTTTATGGCTTTGTGTATACCATTTTATGGCTTTGTGTATATAATTTATTTTCAGTTTATGGCTTTGTGTATATCATTTTCCCATTAGTTAAAGAAAGCATGGATTTAATTGCTAATCTGTGGGCATCGATTGCACGCTATAAAGTTAGACTTTTCCAAGCTGCCAAAATGTTACTTCAGTTCAAAGCTGTCTTCATTAGCTTAGAAGAGTTCTAACCTTGGAATATCATCTGATCATCGACAAAAATTGCGACGTCTCTCTTGTCACAAAATATAAACCTCACCCCTGGAAATAATTTTTCTAAGGCAGAGAGGCATCGACGTATCAGGTTTCGACAAAGTTTCATTTTCATCATTTTCAGCTTCTCTTTAGCAGTGTCGCCGGGACAGGACACCCGACCTGCTATGGCTCCCCTATGCACTGTTTGAAAAGATGGAGAAGCAGCTGAATATCAGTCGTCGAAGATGAACTTTTTTCTTCAGACAGCCATAAAAATTAATATTCTGTTATCATTGAATCAAGGAACGGACACATCTCAAAGGCAGTTGTGATTTTTTGTCGTCACGGAAATCCTTCTTGATGGAATTTGCAAGAATTCACTACTGTTGTGATGAATGTTGAGAGAACGATGTCGCCTTGTCGCCAAGTAAAAGTTGTAGAAGCTAACTAAAAGGCTGATTTTCAATGAGAGTAGAGCCAGGTTTGTGATTTTGCAGCGAAATTGCAAGAAAGCAGAATCGAGCTCAACTTTTTCGCTGTAAATATTGCTTCATGGAGTTCATCTTAGCGATTTTCGAATTCCTTATGAACTACATTGTTGGGCTTATCGAGGGAAGAGGGCTGGCTGTCATTCTAGCCCCACATGCCTCCGTTAGTTTAATGCCTGTCCTTTCGAGATTTTCTTGAAATAATGAGAAGGATGGTAAACAAAGCATGAATTTAAGTCAGAAACTTTCAAACTTTTTTCGCAAACTATTAAAAAATCCTTAGGGTCTCAAACAAAGATAATAAATTCGAAGTTTAAAAGAGTTTATTCCTTCACTCAAAGAATTCATCTTTTCGAACGTTCGTACATTTAATAGGCTCATAAATAAATTATAGAGAGCTTGCTAGATGGTAGATTAATATTTCCCAAACATTATTAAAAGATTGTCAATAACGCCACTATTTAGTGACTTGTGGTCATTTTAGATTCTATGGTATTGAAAATTGTCCAAAATGAAAACCTCCGTTGTTCTAACCTATCTATGTTTAGCTTAGATTATATTGAACAAGATATTGTTACAACCATTGTCAATAGACTATGCTACAATTCACGGATACAGTGGAAAAATGCATGACCCTTTAGGACCAATCTTTTTGAAAATTCATCTAACCAAAGGAGGGGGAGGGGGAGGGGGAGGTGAGGGAGGACTAAAGCCACCGGTTTCAGGAGATGAAGGATGGATTAAAATGTTGAAAGATATTTTTCGATCCAATCTTCAACATATTGATTATTCCCCATAAAACCTGAAGAAAAGAAGGTAATTAGATTGCTTCTAAGACCCCGTTTACAATATAGAAACAAGAACGGAACTCTTTGGTTCCGTTCTTGTTTGGGCACGATACCTCTTTCTTCATTGCGTCTACACTGTAGCAAAAAGGAACGGAATCAAATTTTTGCCCGTTTACTTTTGAGTAAAAAAACGGAACTTTGACGCGACGCGCGCGCAGTAATGCGGCAATGACGTTCTGACATTATAAGAAAACCTCTCCCCAACTCCAGATTAAGCTCCATTTTCAATCGTAACCATTTTAAAGTTCCGTTCCTGACCGTTCACACTAGAGAAAAGAAGCACGATTTGGGAATGGGAGCAAAGAGTTTCTCATTTTAGCGGAATGAAAGAAGAAC